CTTATCTCCAATTCACCACTGGAAAACCAGAAGTGGCACTGTGGCTCATGTGGTAGGGCACTTGCTTTGAGCTGAAGAGCTGAGGGACAGCGTCCAGGCCTAGAATTCAAGCCCTACAACCAACCCAAAAAAAAGAAATTCAAATATGGAAAAAGGCTTCTGCTTAAGAGCATTTGGTGTCCAGCATAGTTACAGCTACTTAAAATGGATGTAGTTTAAATAATCTACAGTGTGATTATGGTCAGGAGAATGATGGAATTTCCCTTTAGTTGCCTGTTAGGATTTACAAATAACACGGTGTCACGAGACGTGCTTATGTTATGATGATAATCTTAAAAACCCCCCAAAAGAAACTGGCTTATTTTAATCAAGACCCATCCACCCAGTTTCTGAAGATATGGTTAATCTCACATGTTATTTTTTTGTGGGTGCTGTTCTCAGGGAAATAGGGGACTACCAGCTATTAATATGATGTTTCCCCTCATGTTGACACATTTGCCCATCCCTTTTTGTTCATCCCTTTCTTCCTCAATATGGACAACTTGCACAGGGACTCATTGTGAGTTCTCCCACATCCCTCACCCCCAGCTTCTGCTCATGTGAAAGGGGTGGGTATTTCTGGGAGGAGAGCCAGTTCTCCCCCTCCCTGTATACTCTACAGTGAGGATGTAGCCCCATTTTCTGGTGGTTATCAAAGCACTTTCCCTTGACACTATGAAGAGCTTTACATCTGATTAGCTTCAGACCTGGATGATAAGTTATTGACAGGGCAATAGGAAGCATACAAGACAGCACCTTCTTAAAAATAAAGTAATTCCTGGCTAGACACTGGTGGCTCATGCCTGTAATCCCTAGCTACTCAAGATGCTGAGAGCTGAGAAAAGCCGTTCAAAGCCAACCCAGGCAGGAAAGTCTGTGAGATTCTTATCTCCAATTATCCACCAAAAAGCCAGAAGTGGATCTGCTCAAGAATGCCCTGGTAGGCTGGGAAGGTGACTCAGTGGTAGAGTGCTTGCCTTGCAAGCCTGAGGCCCTAGGTTCGATTCCTCAGCACCACATAAGCAAAAAGAAAAAAGCCAGAAGTGGCGCTGTGGCTCAAGTGGTAGAGCGCTCGCCTTGAGCTGAAGAGCTGAGGGACAGTGCCCAGGCTCAGAGTTCAGCCCCCACAACTGGACCCCCCCCCAAAAAAAGAATGCCTTGGTCCCAAATTCAAACCCCAAGACCACTGGTTTTTAAAAAAGTAATTCAATAGGTTAGAAAAATAACCTTTTCTAGTGTCGAGAGCAAAGGAGAAGAAACATTCATCACATGCAAAAGGCTAAAGCCCCTTATGTATCAAGAGAAAAAGAAAAAAGAATCATGAAAACATAGTTTTCCTCATTGGACTCTCTTCTATATAGCTTTCCTGATAGCAGAAGCCTACATTTGCTTTGGGCAATCACCCTTACTTGTAGTTCTCAGACTAACTGTATATAAAATCTATTTAATCTGCAGATGGAAGTATAGACTTGATTACTATAAGCGGATCAATGAACTCCATTCTTGTAACCATAGCAATTGGTTAGGAATTGGATTCCTAAGTCAGTCAAATCTGAAAGAGCCTACACATATTTTCTCAGCAGAATCACAGACTTACTCAGCCCTATAAAAAAGGGTACAAAGAGCCCTATAACACTGGCAGATGCCAACAGCCACCCTGGAACCCTCACATGCATGGGAGATGAGAAGAAGGCCACCAGGCTTCATTTATACACACCTTTTAAGTTAGCTTTGATGTCTTTCCTCCTGGAAGCAGCCAGCATCCTGAGGGCACAGTCACAGACCCTGGCTAAGATATGGAAGGAGCTGCACTGGAATAGGAAGGCATTAAGTGGAAGTGGTTTAAGCCGTAGTGTGTGTCAGAAGCACCTGGGAGCTTGTGAAAACAGATGGCTAGGCTCTGTCTCCTAAAGGCTGGGGCAAGGGGTTCAGAACTTGCATTTTCTAGCACCTTCCTTGATGATAGCTACCCAGTGATATGATATTTCTGGTTAATCTGTGGCTTGTTGTATCTGGTTGAGCTGTGGTTTGTTGTTTTTTGGTGTTAGGGACCTGAACCAAATGCCAAATGTCACAGCATTAAAGTATGTCCTGAATATTGGAATTTAATAACTGCTTTGAACATCTGTCATAAAGGTCCCATAGGAGCCCAGCAACTCAGGAGGCTGAGATCTAAGAATCTCAATTTGAAGCCAGCCTAGGCAGATAAATCCTATCTCCAATTGACTAGCAAACATAAAAAGGAACTTGAGGCATGTAAACGTTAAAGAGTGAACTGTGAGCAAAAAGTAAGGGCTCAGGATTAAATTTTTCATTATCTCCCTATATGGCTTCCCAACTCCGTGGTGTCCAGGAGGGAGGGGTGCCTGTGGGGAACGATGTTTACAGTCTTGGGGCCTGATCTAGAATGTTCATCCCAGGGAATTGGGCAAGTAGGAAGTAAGAGGAATGAACGTTTGTGAAAAATAGCTAAAGAAATAACGGAAAGGATGGGAGTGTGGCTCAAATGGTACAGCACCAGCCTAGCAAGTTCAAACCCCAGTCCTATTAAAAAATACAAATAAAAATTTAAAGCTGCAATATAGAAAAAGACCCTTTACTTAGTAAGTTTTTAGTTTCTTTTGGTTTTTTTAAATCCCATCTAAGAAACTTCAGTTCATTTTGTGATGTGTATTATTCCAAATATTTGCATACACACATACATACTTACACACACACACACACACACACACACACACACACACATACACACATGTACAACAACTAGCTGGGGATGTGGCCTTAGCATACCTAAGACCCTGAGTTTGATCCCTGCAAGAAAACGTAATAAAACAGAAAAACATTCTATACCTATGAGTGTGTATGCATATATTTTGCACATGTTAAGGACATACTCCAGAGATATAGATGTATGTCTCCCCTTTGGATCTGAGTAGAATATTTCATGCACGAGTACCTCAATTTTCTACTAATTTAATCCCTACTTACCACTGTTTTTATTTATTTATTTATTTTTTGCCAGCCATGTTGCAGAGAATTTCCTTGTGTTCATATATTCCTGTTCTTTGGTAGTATTTCTACAAAATAGATTCTTGGAAGTGGGAACCAGTCAAATAGCATGTACATTGGTATTTACATTTTGAAGAGTTCAATCACTACAATTCAGTGGTCTTGACCTTTAATGTGTGTGTGTGTGAAATACCTGATAAGCTTGGCAAAAATATCAGTGCTCAGGATTAATCCTCAAGAGTCTGATGTGAATGACTTGTGTTTTAAGTATAGATAGGTCAGATTTGGTCAGTGGTTAACAGAATACTCTGAGCTCAGAATACTTCCTGAGCTCTGGTTTAGTTTTTTGGCAAGTGGGGATATTAATAGTATAACTAAACTGAGCTATTCTATTTGATTGGCAGGTGTTTTGACAGTTTTCTGTCTCTATTACCAGATATTTGAGAAACTCAGGTTAAAAGTTAGGAAAGATGGGCTGGGAAGGGAGCTCAGTGGTAGAGTGCTTGCCTTGCATGCCTGAGGCCCTGGGTTCGATTCCTCAGCACCACATAAACAAAAAAAAAAAAAGAAGAAGAAGAAGAAGTCAGTAAGTGACAAAACCAGACATCTGAAACCCAATTAAGTCAATTATTCTGTCTCAATGCTGTCTATCCCATCATAAGAAAGATTAAAGTTAAAAAAAAAAGTTAGGAAAGGTCTATTTTGAATGGCCCCTGGATTCAGAGGTTTCAGTCCCTGTTTTCTTGGCCTGGTTGCTTTTAGGTGCATGGTGAGGCAGAGCATCGTGGAGGAAGAGCATGGTTGAGGAGAGCTGCTTACCTCATGGTGGCCTGGAAACAGAGAAAGCACTCACTTTCGTAACAAAATCCACTGCCTAAATCCATTAAGGTATGATCCCTAAGTAGATTAATAACATCCTGAGGTCGGAGCCCAGGAGCCAATCACTTCCCAAATGCTTCTCTTCTGAACACCTCTGTATTGGGGACCAAGCTTTCACCTAGTGATCTTTGGGAAGACTTAAGGTCCAAACTCTAACAGGAGGATCAAACAGACATTCATCTGAAGTAAGCCTCAAAAGGAGAAGCAATTGTTATTAAGAAAGCTTGATTTCCCATAAGATCTAATAAGATCCAATCAAATAATGAAGTAATTGGTCTCAACATTCTGGAGATCAAATTAGGAGTTCAATACCAGCCTGGGCAACATAGTGAGTTTCAGACCAACCTGGGCTATATTGTGAGACCCTATCTCAAGAAAAAGGGAGGGCTGGGCATTGGTGGTTCATGCCTATAAACCAAGCCACTCAGGAGGCTGAGCTCTGAGGATTGTGGTTTGAAGCCAGCCCTGTGAGACTCTTATCTCTAATAATCTACTCAGAAAAGGCTGGCAGTGGTGCTGTGGCTCAAGCAAAAAAAAAAAAGGAAAAAGAAAGGAAGGAAGGAAGGAAGGAAATAAAGAAGGAAGGAAAGAAGGAAGGAAGGAAAGAAGGAAGGAGAAAGAAAGAAAGAAAGAAAGAAAAGAGAAAGAAAGAATGGAAGGAAGGAAGGAAGGAAGGAAGGGAGAGAGAGAGAAAGGAAAGAAAGAAAGGAAAGGAAAAAAGAAAGAAAGAAAAGAAAGAAAGAAAGAAAGAAAGAAAAAGGTTCAGGGACAAAGTGCAGGCCCTGACTTTAAGCCCTTCCTAGGACAGGACAAAATAAAAGTGGGAGAGGAAAGGGGATTTTCCTAAAGAAGATACACTATGAGTTGAATTATAAAATGTTCAGTTCTAGTGTCTTGGCTCTGTGCCTCCAGTGTAAATCAGAATGACTCTGTGATTCCCACTTCTCTGTCCCCTGACCTCCACCCCCTCCCCACCGCATGCCAGACATTGATTCCACATTTTCCTATTTTTTGCTGTCATTCTTCTGAACCAGTAGTTCTGATTTATCAGAAAGACAAAGCCAAACTTTAATTTTGGAATGAGCATTTTTATTCTGTCATTGGGCTAGACATGGTCACAGAAGAAAAGCATCCACAACCTATGTGCTAGTCTGATGACTTTGGTACCATGTCTACCTAAACTAAGGTGATGACAACCACCCTGCTGTCACCAAAAAATGATGTGCAAAAAAAGTGTCCTGGGAATCCTTCAGAGCAAATGGTCACAAACATAATGCATCAATAAAAAAAATAAATTATAAATATTAAATAACATAAATTAAAATTTAAGTTAAGAGTATGGCCCTTTGGCATAGTCCATAGGAGAGGTGGCTGTGGAGGTTGCAGGGAGGTCACTGGGTCTCCGGCTGTCTCTTTGCTCCTTCGGCTTCCTGCTGCAGGTCAGAAATGTACTCTTGCACCCAGGCCTGGCGGGGATCAGCACAGACCTGCCTGTTTTTCTTGGTTAGGAAGCTGTGGAGAGAGAGGCAAAGGATCAACCACAGAACCACCACAGGGGAATCCTGGGCCCACTGTGACCCCCCTCATCCAACCCTGTGTCCTGGGTACCTCAAGGATGCTTTCACTGGCTCAGGGGACCCCCCTCACCCCTCACTTTCTCTCACTCCCCATTTCCCTCTCATTCTCTTCCACCCACTACCAAGTCAGGTCACACCGAAGAGATCTGGATCCTGGATCCTAGGTAGGCCCTTCAAGGTTGGACCTTGCTTGATGCTCTTCTAGCTTGTGCATGCCCCTGGGATTGGTCTGTCCCCAAGAGTAGGAAGGAGAACTAGTACTTACATGACGCCCGGCTGGGAACACTGACCGTTGGTCTCAAAATAATCAACTATGAATTTACGAGGAATCTGGTGCTTGACGTAGGAGAAGCAGCAGGCGGTCGGGGTGTCAGCGCCAACTATAGAGGAAGGGACAAGCCACGGTTCAGAAGGGAAGGGCAACTGACACCTGCCCCTCAAGAGTGTGAAGAAGGCAGCCTCGCTCAAGGTGAGGATTGGGTGCAAGGCACCTAGGGCATGTGGGTGCTTGCTCACAAAGACTCCTGTTGCTGTCTTCATTTCTGTATCTATTCTTTATCTCTGACCTTTCCCTGGGAGCACTTGCTTTTTCCATGAGTTAGATATCCAAGCAGACTATTCTCTTACTGCATCTCTCTTTTGAGAGTGTGGTCTAGTTAAGGCAGTCATAGGAGAAGTCTGGTCATATCCCCAAAACAGCCCTCTGGGGAGACCAGGACCAGTGTCGAGCCTATACCACGGCTAGGAAGTTGCCAAACCTGGATTCCGCCTCTTTGCAGACTCACTTTTTAGGGCCTCGTTTTTCTGTCTGTACCAGGACCCCAAGTTCTTTTACTTCCCTTGGCTCTTAGAACTGGGCACTCGGAAAGCGAAGACACCATGTACAAATGAAAGTAAAAAATCTCAAAGGGAAAGATCAACATGTGTTGCTGCCCTGTAAAAAGTTCTTTTTTTTTGGCTTAGAAACCCTAGGACCACAGAACAGATTGATGTGGTCTGCACATGGCCAAAGAGAGGAAGGATACCTGCTGCAAATGCTACTCACGTGGTGCAGGGAAGGCCTGGTGACAGAGAGCCATGGCGCAAAGCAGGACAGCAAGGGCAGCCACGGAGACCTTCATGATGACAAATGGATACTGAGTACCAGTTGGAGTGTCAGCCAAGCTGGGATGGGACTGGGTATTCGCTGGGGCCTGTGTCCTGCTGGCATCTGAAGCCATCTCCCCATCTCTTTATAGTAGCCCTGGAGGGTGAGGAAATGGAATCTGGGGGGGGAGTGAAAGGGGAAATTTTAAAGCATAGTAATGTTGTCATACAAAGTGTTGGGCAACTTAGAGTCTCTGGTGACCACAGGGGCTCAGGATATCTCAGAATAACATCTCTGAGCTGTAAGTTTCAGCTACCAACTTGTGACTTGCTCTGGTTTCTTGTGAGGAAAGCGTTTTGGAATGGAGAAGAAAGGAATATGTCAACCCTATTCTTAGCTGGTCCCCTTCTCATAAGTGATTTATGAATGAAATCTCCAGCCTCATCCCTGCCCCTGCTCCCCCCACACCCACCCACTCCACAGAACTGAAACTCTGCTTTCTCTGCCTTTCTAACCACACAGATGGGAACTTGAGTTGATAGTACCCCTCCCCCAACTCCAAATGCAAGGAACTTATTAAGGAACCCCAGGCTAGAGGAATAGAAAAATATAAGGTCAGGGCTTAGGAAGGTGGCTCAGTGTAGAGTGTTTACTTTGCAAGTATGAGGCTCTGGGTTTGATTCCTCAGCACCACATAAGCAGAAAAAGCTGGAAGTGGCACTGTGGCTCAAGTGGTAGAGCGCTAGCCTTGAGCTGAAGAGCTGAGGGACAGTGCCCAGGCCCAGAGTTCAGGCCCCATGACCAACAAAAATGACAACAACATGAGGTCATGTTTCAGTTATTCCGTCCGTTCGTGGAGCTATCACAAGTGATGAGGGCCCTGGGTGAAACACTCGTGTGGGTGTCAATATGTCAGCACCCATTGACCTAGAAAATGTATTTCTAGGAAAGCTTTCTATGGGAACAACCAAATATAGATAGATGCATCTCCCAACATGGGTAGGGCATCTATAGTGCAGCAATAAGGAAACCTAATTGTTTCCTCTAGGACAAAATTACAATGCAAATTATAATATGCTCACTGGATTGTTTATTATTAAGCTCTTAAAAATGGATAAAGAAGCCAGGCTCTGGTAGCTCATAATCATAATCCTAGTTACTTGGGAGATTGAGATCTGAGGATCAAGTTCAAAGCCAGCTTGAGAAGGCAAGTCTGTGAGATCCTTTTTTTGGGGGGGGGGGGGGAAGAGTCCGGTCATTGGGCCTGAACTCTGGGCCTGGGCGCTGTCCCTCAGCTCTTCAGCTCAAGGCTAGCGCTCTACCACTTGAGCCACAGCACCACTTCTGGCTTTTTTCTTTTTGCTTATGTGGTGCTGAGAATCGAACCCAGGGCCTCAGGCATGCAAGGCAAGCGCTCTACCACTGAGCCACCTTCCCAGCCCAACTGTGAGATTCTTATGTCCAGTAAAGTGCCAGCCTGGACCAAAAACTAAGTGACAGTGTCCAGGCTCCAAGTTCAAGTCCTATTACTAGTAACAAAAAACAAAAAACACCTGGGCTGGGAAGGTAGCTCAATGGTAGAGTGCTTGCCTTGGATTCATGAGGCCCTGGGTTCAATTCCTCAGTACCACATAAGCAGAAAAAGCCGGAAGTGGTGCTGTGGCTCAAATGATAGGGTGCTAGCCTTGATCTGAAGAGCTGAGGGACAGCGCCCAGGCCCAGAGTTCAGGCCCCACGACCAGCAAAAAAACACAAAAACAAAACAAAAAACCTCTGAGAAGGGAGACATGGTTAGCAAGAAAGCCAGGAAAAGTTTCATGGAAGAGCAGACCTTTCGTTGGATCCTGAGAGCTGTGCAGGATTTGAACATATGTAGGTAGGAGATGGAGGTCCAGCTGATGCGAAGCTGCAGATGTGACTCTGTAACCCCCACAGGAAATGGAAGTGGTTCTGGTGTTGCAGAGCAATGGGGATGGAATGTGGACAATGATGCTAAGTTGGAGCCAAAACAGGAAAGGTCTTGAATTCTCCCCAAAGGAGTTAGAGTTGATATGTTGGATGTCAGAGAACCATGGAAGCCAGAAGCCAGAAGACAGGAGTGAACCAAACGCCATCTGAGGAATCCTCTCTTTCTAAGTGTCTGTAGAAACACATTTTTTGTGGGCAGTACTTGAGCTTGAACTCAAGGAATCACACTTAGGCAGTGTGATTCTACCACTTTATTCACACTTTCAGCCCATTCTTTTTCAGACAGGATCTCACATTTTTGCCCAGCAATGGTCTTGGGCCTACAACCCTCCTACCTAATCCCTAACCCTCTAGTTGCTGGATTATAAGTGCATACTACCATGCCTGACTTGTTGGTTAAGATGGGAATCTTGCTTTTGCCCTGGCTGGCCTCAAACCACTTGTCCTCACAATCCCCATCTTTAGAGTACAGCTGTGATTATGAGCATATGTCACCATACTCAGTCCTGGTGTTACATTTTTCAGCCATCAGGCTCGGTTTTCATCCCTCCTTACGTTGCTGATGCTGATAGCAAGGAAGGTGGATGATCCTACACTGCTGTCAACTCCAAAGAAAGGACTTTGCGGTCTTTCGTTTCAATAGAAACTACTTCATAGATGAAGCTTCCTTCTCAGTTTACCCTTCCTGTCACCTAGCCCTGATTAATACCCCAAATATACTCTCTCATTTCTAGGGGAACCACCTTCATATTCATGTCTCAGTTTCTGCGAGTGAACTTCTAGGAGTTGGGGAGGATGAAAAGGGGAAATGGAAATGCTGAGTCAGTCACTTTGCAGATAATGGACAGTATCTACTTCCAAGATTGCAGCATTTACCACAGTGCATCCTTTAGTCATCTATGCAAATTCTTCCTAAAAAATTTAAATAATATCCTGTCACTTTTTTTTGGGAGGGGGGCCGGTCGTGGGGCCTAAACTCTGGGCCTGGGTGCTGTTCCTCAGCTCTTCAGCTCAAGGCTAGTGCTCTATCACTTGAGCCACAGCACCACTTCTGGCTTTTTTCTTTTTGCTTATGTGGTGCTGAGGAATTGAACCCAGGGCCTCAGGCATGCAAGGCAAGCACTCTACCACTGAGCCAACTTCCCAGCTCAATATCCTGTCACTTTTAAGACACATTCAAACCACGTCCTGATGGTTCAACTTAGCTAACCAAATCCTAGCTCATGATAATTCTAATGCAATGAATATCTCAGCCCGGTATCTTGTTTCTTATAATTTTGTTCCTTTTAATAAAAGTGATTTAGTAAACATACAATTCAGTCCCAGTGTTTATACATTTTTAAGACTTTCCATATCAATTTACAAATCAGGAAATAACCCTTAGCCATATGTTTTTACTTGGATTGGAAAACAACACACGGATAGGCATACTAAGCTTGATCTGCATGTTGATGTACAATGGAAAGGAGCTGTAGGACAGTTGAGTTGGGAGAGACTTAGAAATTTCTTGGATGGTAAATTGATGTCCTCAGGTTAAATTGACGGTCAGCTCTATAGCTCTGCCTGTAATATTTATTAGTGTATCTCCAATGACAACCATGATGCTTGACCCATAGTGGTGCTTAATCAATGCCTTGTAAGTGAATAAATTAGACTTGATTATGTGCAAAATCTTACAGTATTAGAGGGAAGGATAAGAAAGGCTGAGGTGTCAAGGTTGGAGGCATGGCTCAGTGGTAGAGGGCCTGCCTAGCCCCCAGTACAAGAAAGGAAAGAAGGAAGGATGGAAGGATGGAAAGAAGTGAGGCAGGGAGAGAAAGAAAGGAGGAAAGAAGGAAAGAAAGGAGGAAAAAAGGAATGAAGGGAAGTCTATGATGTTAAGGCTTGATCTTTGAGGGAGTACCAGGTTGACTAAGTAGTTGTGATGAAATGTGACCAGCAATCAACATGGCAAATCCCTCCGCATGGAGAGGTCTGATTTGTGCCCTAGATTCCCAGCTCACTCCAGCTTCCCCAAGGCTCCACCTCAGTTCAGTAGAGCTTCCCAGCTATGAGTCCAGAGATTTCTGGCTGAGAAATTCATGTTCTTTCATGAACCATGGTGCTCTGCTGGCCTCCTTCATTTATCCTGGTTCCTACAGTGCCTGCTCAGTGTGTTCCTGTCCTATCAAGTGGCCAAGAAACCTGGAAGTCACCCTTAACTCTTCACTACCCTTCCCTTTGTCCTCCACCTCGTCTGCATTAGACATCAGATACCTCTATCTCTTCAGGCCCACTGCTGCTGCTGCTGTCTGAGGTTCCTGGTAGGTCTGTTCTATGAGAGTTTTTCACTGTGACTATAGACAGTGGCCACTTGTGGCTTTCTCCCCAGTTTTCCCTCTTAAATCTATCCCAGCACACAGCAGCCAAGGCAGTTTTGCTAAAACTCATATTGGTCTCTGTCTCTCTGTCTCCCTGTCTGTCTCTCTCTGTCTTTGCCTCTCTGTGTTTTTCTCTGTGTCTTTGTGTCTCTCTGTGTCTCTGTCTCTGTCTGTGTCTCTGTCTCGGTCTGTCTGTCTGTCTCTCCAATGTTTCCAGGATGAATGGAAGCTTCCATTTCCCCTGACCCCTGCCTACCTCCTGGTTCTTGCAGTTTGCTCTCTTGACTCCAAGGCTAAGGCTCAGCCCTCTGAACTACCTACAGTTTGTCAACAGGGTGGCTGACCTTCCTGCTTTTAATCAAGTGTCAACTTGGCAAAGGTGATCCCTTCCTACAAGCCACAGAACAGAGTGACACATCCTAGGCACCATCACAGTCTGTGGCAGCCACAGGAATTGATATTGAGAATAGAGAAAAACATTATTTAATTCCCCAAATTTTCTAAGAAAAGAAAGAAGACATCTGTGGATTTCAGTTGCTTGAAATCGTATGAAACACAAAACTGAACTACATTGCACATTACACTAACAGGACTTGGCTGTGAAATTGATCAGAAGCAGCCCATTTCCCTTTCTAGTTTAATTACCCTCTTCAGCCAGACTTGCTGCATTTCACTTCCAGATTTCCGCTGTGTGTTCTGTGCTTCCCTGTCTCTGTGTATACAGGGGGATAATACTAATACATGGCTCTAAGGGCTGATGTGGGATAGCTTCTCTCAGGAATTGAACATACCCCAGTATCACTGTCTTTACCCTTGATAGCCAAAGAGCCCATGGTGATAGGTCA